TAGTGTATCTTTGTTGTTATTCATATCTATCGATGACCGTATCAGGTGACAGGCTTTCATAACAAAAGCGCTATCACCTTTTTCATAACGCATTATTTTAATTGTGTGCGATTTGTAACAGTTCATTATTTGTTTTGTTATCCACAAATTGTATCAATATTGATAGTAATTTATGCCTACCAATTACATCGGACTTTTCCAAGAGATGATTGCGGCGTATCATTGTACCTATGCAAGTCCGTGGAGCCATCCAGCACGCGTCACACACTTCTTCAGTTTCAGTCATCACTGTCGGTAACGGTTCTTATTTTCTTGTTATTCTCATTTTTAGAGAAAAAATTGAGTGCTCGAAACTTTGCGGCAAAGGCGAGGAAAGTGAAAACTTCGCAAAAATCTCGCACGATACCGCATGCTTTTAATCTGGTCAAGAACTTCATTGACTATAATGCTCATTTCAGTGAGTCGTGAGACAGCTATGCACTAGGCATAAATAATGAATCTGGGAAATCAATCTCGGGTGAGAAGCATCACGAGTCTTCGATCTCTCCGTTATGATTCACAATTGACTGACAAAGCCTTAGAGCATTTCTCGGGCTCGCCAAAATCAGAGCGCCTACAGCGCAGTGAGACGAGACCAGTCCTGCTATCATGATTATACAGCTGCCTGCCAACGCCGACAGATGGCGCCAGGCAGCGGAACACTAAGCTGTGACGGCTGAGCCGCTCCCTAAGCCCAGATAAGCCACCTCTGACAACATGGCGCAGAGCTGAGGCCTCAGGCCGATAGTTCGCAGATAGGAGTCCATTTTGCTGCGTTAGATGGGAATAGCTGCGGTCGCATTGCGCGGTTAGTGATGGAGCTCAAGTTAGCTTTGGATATCAATATATACCAATCATGTCGCTCATATAGTTGGAAAATAATAAGCAATCTACTATGTGGATTTCATCCCCATAAAGAAGGTATCTTTGGTTTTCTGTCACTTAGGTGGTTATCCATCCAAAAAATATATTGCTTCGGAAATTGCTGATTTAGGTATCACCTACCCCCCCCCCCCCCAGCTAAGTTACAAGATATTGTGACATAGGTACATCTAAAGTCGTAGGCATTTTCCCATTAAAAAGCAGAAGGTCAAGTAGCACACCGAACTTCCGAGTCCATTTTCGGAAACCATGAAGGACTTGTAGGTATGATCAGAGATTTTCAAAAAAAAAATTGAGTTGCACAGTGTACCTAACGTGTACCTAAAACTGCGAAGTGCGAAGTCAATCCAAAGTCATTAAAAAAAACGAAAATCCGAAGTCATTCGTCCCAAAAATTGCCATATTCCCAAATGGTGGCCCTCCAAAGCTGACCCATCTGCCAGCCACTTTTAGCGACGAGATAAGGTGATGGGATAATTTCTCTATAAGCCGTCAAAACGTCCAACTGTTTTTTCCTTCATGCTTAATGCTATTATAGTTATATCACCCTTTTGTTGCAAGATGTCAGTAGGAAAACTCCTTCCTTGTTGCAGTGGAGTGAACTGGACGTATATTTGGATTTAACCCTCGCCCTGGCAGGGGGGGGGGGGGTCGATGCGACCCCCTGCCCTAAGGTTTTTCGAAGATAGCGTAAAAACGGCGGCGCGCAGCGCCGCCAAATTTGGCACAGCCTATGGGGCAACCTTTTTACATATGACCTGAAAATTTCAGGTTCGAGTGACCTAAGGTCAGGTCACCAGGTCAGAAAAACCGGTACAAGGTCATGGTCAAATTTCAATTTTCTTTTATCACCTGTCCAACTCACAGTTTTGGACTGATTTCCTTCAAACTTTCAGGATGTGCTAAGTTCACCGAGTTGTATAACATATAGTTCGGGTTTTTTGAGGTCACTGACCTGAGGTCAGTTAGAGGTCATTACGTCGTAATGTTAAGCCTATGGGAAAATACTAAATTCGGAAAATACTGGAGATATCCGCTTCAGTTCCATCACTTTTGTGCTTTGAAACCACAGTACTTAACAGCAGGTCACTTGGTGCTTCTTTGTTTGGTGTACTTATCCATGGGTCAGGTCAAATGAGGTCAACTGAGGTCAAATGACGTTTTTGCCAATAACTTGGCACACAATGACGCTAGAGCTTAAAAAATGGTATCATTGTGTTCCTGGTGATCAGCCGAATCGAATGATATGCGATATGATGCAATTTGGTTAACTTGAACTTAACTTATAAATTTAAGTTTACTTAAAATTTAAGAAAAACTTTAAGTACACTTAAGCAAGCTAAAAAGTATATCATTCGACGCGCCTTGACGTGCTGAGTTCACTGGTGCTTTTCTTTTTGCTCTATCTTAATTAGATCAAAAGTTATAAGCGAAAAACTTTTGGCCTGTTTTTAGCGAAATTTTTACATTTATACCCCCCAAAACCCCCCTAAATATTGACCTAGAGCAACCAAATTTGCACAGGGGCGAGAACTCCAAGGGGCCCACCTACCTACCAAATTTGGTGTTTCTAGGTGCCATAGGAGCCAATCGCGAGGGGGGGGGTCGCATCGACCCCCCCCCTGCCAGGCCGTGTTATGAAAAATGCCCTGCCAGGGCGAGGGTTAATATGTAAGCCTGTTTTATATAACCCTACTAGCCCGTATAAGGGGGAGGGGGTCGAACGGACCTCACCTCGGTTTTTCGCGAATAGCTCGCGTAAAAAGCGGCCGATCGCGACAAAACTTTCAATACGCTCGGGTTAATCAATTTTACACCTAGTTACTCTGAAAACTTCATGACCCTGACCCAAATTACCTTTGACCTGTGACCTCCTATTTCTCGAGACCATGTTTGGCCGGAATTGCGATTCTGAGTAGGCATGTCAGCTCACATTGTCCGCGCGTTTTCAGTATTTTTGTGGTTGTAACCTTTCAAACATGTGAAATGATATTGGGCCCACGCATTACGGTACGTGTCAAGGTCACGTGAAGTTTAGGTCAAGGTAATTAACCTTTGATGACATTGGTTCATTTTTTCGAGTTTTACATGTTTCTAGGGTAGTTTTTTTTTTGGAGCTGATTTCGAATTTAGCGTCCATTTGAACATTTACGAAGTAGTTTTAGTGCCTTCTTAACATGTTACGACGCCGTCATTGGTGGCCTACACCTACTATGGATAGCCGGCAAGACGCATACTGGTTGACCTGGCCTGACCTGACCCGACTTGGTCCAAATGCATTAAGACATCATCTGTGATCAAAATTAACATGACATTCGTGATCAGCACCCGAAAAAACATGACAGCTTCTCTTTACGAAGTTCTAGCAGGTTCCGATTTTCCCGACTTTTGGGTCATTGACCTGACCTGGAAGGTCAACCAATGACCTAGGACCTTAACCCGCGCCCCGTTGGGCTCTGCCGAGCAACGCGCCCGGTTGGGGGGGGGCAATTTTGGCCCCCCCCCCCTTAGATCTCGAGAACCACGCAACATAGCGACAAGCGGTAAACGGCGTTGGATAGTCCCATCGGGGAACTACCTTGTGACCCAATTCTATTGACCTAGGTCAAACCGATGACGTCACAGGTCAGGTCAAAGGTCCAATTTTCACCGTTTACAGGCATTTCAAGAAATGCGTTGTAAAATCGAGTAAAATGCATTGCATTGAAAATCATCGATGGGGAAATGTTCTTCAAACACATAGTTTGCTATTTGAGGTCACTGATACCAGGTCAGGTCACAGAGGTCAGGTCACGTGGGGGTCACAATATGAAAGTGTCGTGTGATACGTTTTATGGTCCATTTTACATGACAAATGCGATTATGTGGGTCAGGCAGCCTTTGGGGCCAGCTTAGGTCACGTTTTGGTCAAGGTCAGGTCAAGGTCAGGTCAAGGTCAGGTCAAATTAGGTCAAATTTCAAAGTTGATATTTTTGCATAAAATGGGTATCCAATCGATGCAGCTCGTCACGGGGAGTTCAATGGTGGTCTTTGTTTTGCCGTACGTGGTCTAAAATCGCTAAAAATTGAGTTCAAAATTTGACGTCATCATTTTTGAACAGTTTTTTCGCTATAACTTGGCCAAAAAACGAGATATCGATCTGAAATTTGGTATGTATATAGAAGAGCGGTGGAACTATCACATATATTCCCGTTTTTTTCGAAATTCGGAAAATGTTTGGATTTTTCTTAGTTTTTCAAAAAAAAAAACAATTTTTTGATTTTTTTGGTCAAAAACCAAAAATTTTGAAAATCCGAGATAGCAGTTTTGTAGCGCCACTTTTTGTTTACTAGACAATATAAAGAACTTTGAAATTGCTTGATAACTGTAGATTTGGTGAGCGTTTCAAGATTGCATGTTTTTTTGCTCATTTTTGCTCGAACATGACCTCAGTTTGACCTCAATAACTCCTGACCTAAGGTGACCTAAGACTTGAAATTTTGTGTGAAGGTGTCAAATTGATGCCCGGGAAGGTACTGAAAATTTGGCGGCGCTGCGCGCCGCCGTTTTCTTGCTATTCAGGAAAAAACCACAGGGGGGGGGCCAAAATGGCCCCCCCAACGGGGCGAGGGTTAAAATTGGGTATCATCGGCTTCGTCTCGCCATGGGCAACACGCTCCTTTCTTCTGCGAAGCTCTCAGTCAGGAGTACCAAATGGTAGATGACAACCACAAGTAGATGAAATAATTTTTTAACATTCGGCTATGAATTGAGAAACAGTAACGACGTTCATAACTAAAGATACTTTTTATGAACGTTAAAAAAGTTGTCGAGCGTATGCGATGCAGACCATTAATAAATGTCTATGTAGTAGTCTTTTAGCAAACTGTTCGGCGCCTATAATTCATTCAAGGCATCAGTTTTGCGTCATTTTGATAATTTGCAGACTCCGTTACAAAATAAAACTGTTCGACGGATTTTGTCTCCTTCCTTGCCATAGTGATTACAAAATGGACTTTGTAGATAAAGTTTCACTTATTCGTCGCATGATTTTGTGATCTCGTATCGTTCCATCACATTGTAGTGCTTAAAACTGAACTTGTCGATAGATATTTATTATTGGAATGGTCGAAGCGGAGCACAAAACACCTTCACACGTCCTCCTTGTACTGCATTCACGCTGTCATGGTACTATAGAGACGAGACTTCAGTCTACTACAAAGACGTGTCCCTCGCGAGCACCTCACATATACGAAACACATTTGATTGGTTGGATCAGATAGCTGCCAGCTGGTGAAACAATTGCACAATACAGGTACACAAATACGCTCATTCAAATTCGGTCTTTCTGAAATCAGTGATCCTGTCTTTTAAATCAAACGGGCATTAAAAGAGAGTGAGTTAGCTGACGATTGGTATCGCACCATCTAATATCAACTTGGTCATGTATTCCGTTGGAAGAATAGCGTTTTCTGGCGTATATAAGTGCTTAAGTGTATATCTAAAACACGACAAAAACGCCTGCTGCATTAAAAATGATCGCAAATTAGGAAGTTTTGGCGGAATGGTCCGCGTACGTAATCGTATATCACAGTAATCGCTGATTCAGGAGCACCGGCTGGGCTCAGCTCCGCTGCTATACTCCAGCAGGTCTCTGAGGAGGCAGACCTCACTCATCAGGCTTCGACCCCCGCCGCTCTCTCACCCAGCTGCCGATAAGTGTCAATAGGTGTCGCCGATTTCCACTGATTTATACCTCAGAGTGGATGCAGGCACAAAGTAGGCATACACTAAACTGTCTTGTCACTCTGAGAGGCTCTATGGTTCCTCCCCCGTCTCGGCACCTGAGTGAACTCGTCCAGTTTTGACATGGCACCGCGTGATTCAGGACGATTCAGACCGCCCGCACGCTTTGACAATGGCACTGTGAGCGATGTGACCTCCCCTTTTACATTTTAGTAGATTCGTCTTCATTGTAAGCCGTGTTGTCAAGGCCAAACTGCTCGGGTTTTTCTGGTCTGAGCTCATCTTCCACCTTGTCTTCGACGTACTTGTAGCGGTAAGCCAGGAAACAGAAGAGAAGCATGTCCAGGAACATGAGGGCGGCGAAGAAGAAGAACTCGTGTGACTGTTTGTCGGATACTTCCATTTCGACGATGACGACGTCGAGCAGGTTTCCGAATGAGACGGTAAGTAGCCAGGCGGCCTGGAGGACGGACTTCATCTGTACGGGAGCCTGCGGGGGCGAGAACATGGGTCAGGATTGAACACTCACTGCACTGACACTGCCTAGCGGCGAACCGTGCAGGATTAATGCTATGCTGAGAAAACATGTGAAAAGTTGCACATCACGAGAGAGGATTACAGACATGATTTACTCCTGATATATGCTGCAGTAAATATACATAATATAAGGCTTTGGGGCCAACGCTCAATCCACAATCCGCTTTTATTGCGCATTCAGTTCTTACTCGCGTAGCTTCCAATGGAAGCCGGATGTTAGTGAATGAGAAAACAAGTAACGTGGTGCTATTTTTACACATCTAGTTATGTCTATTATCTATTAAAACGTTTGTTTAATGACAGTTAAAATCAAGTAAACAACACATCATTATAAAAGCGATTGTTCCCAGAAATTTCTATTTTCCTAAATTCCTAACACACAGGCCCATCAGCTCTTACCTGAGTGAACGAGAACTCGAGTCCGGTGATAGAGAACATCACCTCACCCACGGTGATGACAAAGTACTGCGGGATGAGCCAGAACATATGCACGGAGTTGGGCTCCGTCAGCGTAAACATCTTCTGGAACTGAAACACACATAGGACGGGAACATGGTCAATGGCATGGAACAGTTTCAGCCGAAACTACAATCGAAAAAAAACGTGGTAACATCAAATTCCAGGAAGCGATTGCTTCTTCCTAGACTTCTAAAGAAACGTGGATGAAATATTAAATATCAAATGCATAGATAACATGAATCATGTTATCTATGTCAAATGTCATCCTCATCTGTCAATGAATGCCGATATCATTTAGCGGTATTGTCTAATAAGCAGAAAGATGTAAGCATCAATACCATTCACTCACACTCTTCTAGATGAGGCATGGCAGACATGGAGCTATAGCAGACATGGACTTGATATAATTCCTCCTACGATTACATCATCTTCCGCTGCCCTCTCCCTGTCCTCTTCACTCCTCTCACAATTCTTTTCCTCCCCTTTTCCCTCCCCTCTCCCACGTATTCTCACCTCGTGTCCCTGCTCGTCCCGCACGACCAGCAGTGAGTAGGAACCGCCGAGACGCGGGTAGAGGTCAGAGGTCACCGGGTCATCGCTGATCTCACCAGAGGCGCGCGGCAGGAACACCTTGTACCTGGGGGCAGAGGGGGCGAGGTTTGTCAGTGAGAGGGAGGGATGGATGGACCAGTCATCGCGGGGTGATGTTTTTTTACAATTAAAAGGATTTACGGGTCACAAAGGACATAGCTACGCTGCCATGTGTCGTGATATGTGAATCATCTAGAAAGGTTTATCCTCGGAAAAAAAACAAAATAATGAAATCCACGAATCATCATCAAATGCATAATACAGACTAAAAATATCATGTAAAACCCTATTGCAATTCCAATGCCTTGGATCATGAATGACCGCTGGAAATGGAAAGCCGAAAAATAAACGTTTGCAAAACGGCTAAATCCCCCAGCTTTACTCAGGCTTGTTTACTCACTCTTCCGGGTAGACTATTTGATACTCGGTGTCTCCGAAGTTCGAGGCGCCCGTTTTGAAAGTGACTGTGTTCTCGGGGTTGCCCGTCATGCGGATTGTGCTGCCGTTGCTCACGCCAGGCATGCTGTACAACACCCTGTGAGCGAAAAACAGCACCGGTTAGAGCAGCTCGTGAGTCATCCATGCCTTCAGTATGTGACGTGCCATGGTACAGCAGGTCATACATTCCAGCGAAGCCTCGCATTAATGAATGGTGAGATGAGCTATATCTAGTCCGTGCCCGCCCAAACCCAAAGTCACCAACCAAATCGTATCACGATATCGTGATATTATAAAAAAAAAAACTACATTAACCGTACCGCAGTGTATCGTTACAGTATCGCATCATAGATGGCGCCAGGGGTAGCGCCTGAAGGTAGTCTGTGCCGCACTACACACTGGGCTGCTTATGCTTTCGATAATAGATGTCGCTAGCGGTCAACCCCTGAAGTTATGCTGCACCGCAGCACTAGATAAGAAACAAGCCGTGCTAGTGCAGCTGGTGCATGGATGCATGGAGCGGACCGCGAAGGTCTACGTAATCGAAGACTGCAATAATTTTTTTTAGCAGCATTTATGGCTTAAAAGAGTGTCATGGGCTTAACTCCGCTGTCAGCTTACTTGAGCTTGGGATATCCCTTCTCGAGATCCTTGTGGAGGTCGTCCAGATGTTCAGTTTGAAGCAATTGCAGCGTTCCAAAAGAGTTCAGCAGCATCGAAGTGGAGGACTGAAAACGTAGCGACGGTAATGGTCAGTATGAATGCATATCGCCCTTCAAAAAACGTCATCACCACGGATATATCAGTTTCCCCCTAGCGAGTCAAACACTAGTCGGGCAGACTTTTCGTGCAGGTTGACCACGAAAACTACAACTATCGGCAGACTAAGAGCTCACCTTCATGTTCCGGACCACCAGTTCCTGGCTGCCTTGTTTCACGTTCAGAGTCGTACCCGCACAGTCGCCAACAGAAAAGTCCACTCGCAGTTTCTCCGTCTCAGAGGACACGATGAAGCGGTGGATCTCCATAGAGGGCAGCACCAGCGGCTCCGACTGCCAAGATGGCGTTACGGTCGCGCTGCACGGGAGCGAGTTGACGATGCGGAGGTGAGCCATGCCGGGGTCGGGCAGCACGGGCTGCTGACTCTGTGGGATAGAGAGTGCAGCACGGCGTCAGCGAAGGACACTAGCGAGTCTGCTAGTGAAGTGCAGAAGAGCCGAAAACATCGAACACAACGTAAGCCTGGGACTGTGCTGTCTCAGCAGCACGGACCATTTGTAGACCGTAGGGCGTAATCCGGACTATTTGTAGATCGTATGGCGTAATCCAAATGTCTAGCGTGAGTCTCAGAGTCCAACTCATCAACAAAAGCTTAACATGTAAGGTAGCATCATGCTATCACCTATCTAAGCATTCGCCAAGGCCCAAGAACCTGACGATAAGAGCGGTATTTGGAAACGTTCCGTGACGCTCACAGCTCCGCTGGCTGTCCGACTCACCTCCAGTTTGAGTTCGACGAGTCCGGCAAGAATGAACGAGAGCACGGCCAGCATGCCGCCGACTCCCATCCTCTGTAGGGGCTTCTTCAGTAGGTTACACTTGGAGAACGCTGAGACACACGACAATTATGTGTCAGGGGCGCGAAGAAACATGGATCGCTTGAAATGTTTATCAATCACAGAAGAATGACCTGTAGTCAATGCTGAAGAAAATCGAATTCCCAATAACGTATCAGCATACGTCAATGGCGCTCTTTCATAGTTACGTCACATATGCGACAGAAAAATTTGTACTCCTTTATCCAACACACTATCCCTAGATCCTAGTCCTTATTCCTAGCCAGGATCCTTACAATTGGTTCTACCAGCTTTGTTCATGATGTCCTAGCGTCTCTAACTTTCACCCTTCTAATACAGCCATTCCGGTCCGGCAGGTAGGTCCACGTTAACATACCAGGGTAGATGAATGTCTGGAAGCAGGGTATGAGCGCCAGGATGAGCAGCGGGTTGACCACTTGGATCTGGTCGGGCAGCACCAGCCAGCTGCCCACCTCGCCGTTCATCTGGGTGGCCTGCAGCGTCCAGCGGGAGCCCTGCGCGGCAACAGACGGCGGCGAGCGGTTTAGGATACTGACTTCGGTCACAGCACAAGGAGCAAGGCAAAATGGTCGACTAGCATATACCGTTCTGTTATCTTAAGTATCAGTACAACAAGACGTGGGTAGGACCAAGGCCGTATATAATAAGGACTAGGAATGATTGCAATGAAATTGGTACGATGATTGATTAACTGTTTCCAAATATATAAAGATACAAATTCGACACCCCAACAAAAATATCAACAAAACAAAAATCAGCAGCAACACCAACAACAGCAGCAACACGGTCTCCATCAGCAGCTTCCTTTTCCATTAATCTTTATGATGTGCCCACCTGTTGGTCGAAGAGCGCCCAGAAGATCGGAATCGGAATGTAGAGGAAGAGCACGCTAAGCACCGCCTTCACATCAGCAATCAGCTTCTGGCTGTACTTGTCGTCGGCATGGTCCAGCCAGTGGTCGCGCTTATCAGATGACGTCACCTTCTTACTGACGGCATGCTGTGAACGGAAAGGGATAAGGTAGTCTTAAGGTGTGATGCTGCATCAGAGGATAGCCCCTTGTTCTCAGGGGTATTATTTTATATATTTGGCTATGCATTGGATGTCAGTCGACTTACGCAAAAAGCAATCTTGGGATTCAATCCCTAGTCCTTTGTGAAGACTGCGACATCTTATTAGTGCGAAAACTCTCGGAACTTTGAACAAACACGCAATATACCTATCAAGGGACAAAATTCTGACTCTGCTTCTATGGAAGCTAGCTGCATGTGCATCATATCGGTAGTTGAAATCTGTTTGAATATTACGTACCGTAATGACACCTCCGACCTCCAGAATGACGTTTCCTTGCGGCGGGGTGCACTTGTACCAAGGCTTGCCAATCAAGAACAGAACTGTAAACGGATGGCAGCACTGTCAACATCCTGAGAGGTACTGTTTGAGGCATGTCGCATCCAGTAATCTTCTATTTGTTACTGATAGGGCCGAGTTGTCTTGCCAGCATCATGATCGGTTGTTCACGAATCATTCAATATGCAATTTTGACATATTTAGCCAACTAAACTCTGAAAGGTAGGTACTGAAAGTCATTTGAATGAATGAATGAATGAATGAATGAATGAATGAATGAATGAATGAATGAATGAATGAATGAATGAATGAATGAATGAATGAATGAATGAATGAATGAACGAAGGAACAAACGAATAAATGAATGGACAAAGAAACCAACGAATGAATTAGTGAACAAACGAGCGAGCGAGTGAACGAACGAACGAACGACCGAACGAACGAACGAACGAACGACCGAACGAAAGAACAAACGAACGAACGAAAGAACAAACGAACGAACGAACGAACGAAAGAACAAACGAACGAACGAGCGAACGAACGAACGAACGAACGAACGAAAAATGAATGAATGAATGAATGAATGAATGAATGAATGATTGAATGAATGAATGAATGAATGAATGAATGAATGAATGAATGAATGAATGAATGAATGAACGTATCATCATCCATCCATTCATTGTGCACTCACTGAGAGCGACGATCATGAGCACTGCCGGCACGCCGAACGCCAGCGGGTAGCAGCTGTCACTACCGAAGCAGTGCACGTCGTTCCGCAGGATCGGGGTCAGCACCGTGGAGATGAGGCTGCCGGCGTTGATGGCGAAGTAGAAGATGGAGAAGAACTGCTGAAGCTGAGGGTAGAAGAGCGATGGGTGTGAGTGGAGAGATGGAGGTGTAGGTGGAACTCTCAAGAAAGGCGGAGAGCATCTGATTTTAAGTTGTTATTTATTTCTGGTAAAGGATTCAATTATAGCTTTTTTCTTTCTTTTTTTTTGCAAGTCTTTTTTTCTAATTGCAAGACACCGAACTTAATACAAAAATTTGCGACCTAAAATTTGCGTTCATCTTATGTGCCTCAAAACGAATACACATAATCAATGGGAGCCATATTTCGGCTTCGATATCTCCTTTGCATGGTTTCGTATGCAGTCAGTCATTCAATTAACATAGTCGCTCAATACCTGCAGCTCCTGCTGGGGCAGCACGAACTGATCTCCTCCGAAGGCCGAAACGCACGGTTTGATACCTCCTGTGCCGAGAGCGATCAGCGCCAGACCCAGGATACTGATCTCACTGTAAAAGCGCAGAAATGAGTGTCAGTGACTCAAACTGTAACGACAGCAGGCCAGTAACGACGGTCGGTGGCCAACCACTGACACTGAGGCTGAGGCTCTACAAAAGCACGAGCACTTATCATAGGGGCGTGCGGTAACAACAAAACAATCACCGAATAAGACGATGTGAAACGAGAGATGTCTCATTTTGTAGCACCGACTCAACTGGTCTATGGTGCAGCCACTCTCAAGGGCAGCCGCCTTTGCCAGTTGGGCAGGTTTTTGTAGCTGTGTATGTATGCGCACACAAACACAGAACACGGCACACGCGGCTGTCAACAGTAGGCAAACTCGGTGCAGCGCAGCCGTCTCACCATTCGTAGAGATTGCGCTTCGGCGGCCGAGACTGGACATGCATTTCCTCACATGTATGATCGTTGAATTGCGCATGTCGTCGTGAGATAAATGAATCGCATGCCACAAATATTGTAACAGAGATCATGCGGATACAAAGTGTTACTTTAGCATGATAGTGTCAATAAGATGGGTTGTACAAAATTAATAATCGTCACATATAATTTTTATCATAAGTTACAATAAAAGTAGCATGACCATTATGTTTTAACCGGATTTTATTGCCACCAATTCGTGTTTGTATCTTCACACTAATTTCAGTCAGTCGTACCTATAGAAAGGGGCCGCTTTGAGAACTACTTTATCGATATATTTCAGAGCTCATGCTGGTAACTCCCGCGTTACCACATAACTGTGATATCCTGTGAAAATACTTCTGCGGATGGCAAAGGTGGAAATTTGAAGCACCAGTATCTTGACTGTGTGGCAAGCGTTTCATCAAACATGATTGCTGAACAGCTTTGAAGTGTGGTTGCATTTGTAGGATACTGATATCGAACGCCATTCTAAGAAACAGAAGTGGCAATTCCCTATTGCCCCAATGCTTGTGTGGAGAAAAGACACGATACCCTACATATGCTGCGCCGCACTACTAGGATGTGCTCCGGGACAGCATGTCAATATCAATTTCGTACGTCTCTGTGCCAAAGGCAACGGGATACGCGGTGGAGGCTACTGTTTGTTCATGTGAAACTGCACTGACAGATGACGCTGAAATAACGCTGCTTATTTCTACAGGTGTACAGGTTACGGTAGATGCATGTGGGTTGGCGCATACGGCATACTGCTCAGTGCTCAGCGGTAGGTCGCGTTGAAAGCATGACAAAGAAAGGACAGAAGTACAGAACGCTTGGTAATTTACCGCATAGGCCGAGAAGAGCTTCTGCAAACAATTGGTAATGCCCATCTCCTTGAGAGTGGTAATTCTTCACGACCTTGTTGAGCTTAGAAATCGTCTCTTTAAAAGCACATGACTTGTGAACTGCGACATGGATTTCGCAAGGTCGCCCATTGTTGATGTTTATCCTTACGATAAGTAATCGCTGTGCCTTGGAATCCAACCTTGTCCGATAGCATGGTAGGTATTGGCGCTAAAACCATGTCATATATCCACGTTCTTGTTTGAAGCATGACTGTTCTTCGGAGAGTTATCAAGTGGCGATCGTAATTCATCGAGTCTTGTGTAATACGAGATAAGTGGTATTTGCTCCTTTTATCTCATACATGTTCAATGATTATTGCCAAATGGATGTCTGGTGACGTTAAAAGTGACAATGTTGATAGCAGCTGAAAATGCGATTATGCAAAGGTAGCAATGAAACGTAGCATATTGACTATTGAGTCATTGTAATCATACCGGACAAGGAGACATCAGAGCAACCATGTGTAGGTATTTATTCCAAGCTTTATAACAGTTAAGTTTACGCCGCCTGGTTGGGTAATCGCTCACCGTTCCAGAACCCATTCAGAGCACCGCTCCCTAGTTAGAAAGTGTTTCAGCTGACTAGCGTGAGCCGCTGCCGTAACTGTTTCTGTTGATGATGTCTAGTCTGTGTGCAGGGCCGCCTGCCGCCGGGCGGTGTCGTCATCCTATACTCCCTTGCCATACTATACCAGGAGGGTGCAGGGTGCAGAGAGTCGTCCCCAGCGTGTGTAAACACAATGGAGAAGGTGATGTCACTCACGTTTGAGGGAAGTACAGCGGTGGGGTGGCGGCCAGCGAGAGCAGGATGTTGCCAATACAGTAGACGATCGAGATGTAGAAGATGGTCCTGAAATATGAATTTGATGATTCAGCTGGAGAAGATGATGACAAATAAGGTAATTCAGTAGTAATGAGCTTCTATTCGTAGCAGTATGAAAACAAAATTGTGCGATTAAAAAACAAACAAAAGCAGCTTCAGAAAACAAGACATCAACAACGTGTCAAAATTTCAGGAACAAAACTTTCCAATATTTTCGTAATTTCATAATTGCTTCTTTAAATTGCAGTGAGCACAAACACACGCCACAGGCATTGCATTCACCAAACGCACTTGAACTTTCCGAGCAGCGTGTCGGCGAGGATGGCTCCCAGGATCGGCGTGAAGTAGCAGAACATGTTGAAGGTGTGGTAGACCACGGTGGCAGCGTCGTCCGAGTAACCGAGCTCATTCCGCAGGTAGATGGTCAGGATGGCTGCACAAGAGAGACACAGACGGGTAGTCGTTAGACTAGTGCAGGGAAACGACTGGAAAATGATGCCCCATGCATCTTTCATATTTCTGAATAATGCAAATTGAGCTGCATTATTTACTGTTTCCAAACAATCAATAGTTCAATATAGTTCAATTCAATTCAATAGTTCAATTCAATAGTTCACAAGAGGAATGTAACACCGGTAATACGATATTATCCCGCACCGTAGACAGTGTTTACAATTGATTCACGTGCAAATAGAGAAATTATCAGAGATGTCGTTACACTGATTTGTTAAACGTTGGTTAAACGTCTGAGCGATTAACAACCTGTTAAACTTCCAGTAGACATTTCGTCTAGACTGAAATATGTCGTATTTTTTATATAAAGTGTACTTTTTACCTTTAAGCGCCCGAACGATATCGGCGGTACGGGATAAAATTATTAAACCGCTCGTAGGTAGAAAAATCTTTTAAACGTCGAGCCGATAAGCGAGACGTTTAAAAGATTTGTTCTACCTACTCGCGGTTTAATACATAATATATAAAACAGACGGAGTTAGTTAGTAAACTTATAGCAAATCAAAAATATGGGAACACAGGAGAATTTAATATATGTACCCGTACCGCCGATCTCTTTCGAGCGCTTACTCGTAAAGGTAAAAATACATTTTATGTAAAAATACGACGTATTTCAGACTACACGAAATGTCTACTATTATAGATGTTTAACAGTTTGTTAATCAGCTAGACGTTTAACAATTCAGTTACACGAAATCTGATAATTTTCTCTCTTTGCTCATGAAGCAATTGTAAACACTGTCTACGGTGCGGGTTAATAAATGATAAATGTGTTTTTTTTACAATATATTTCCTCATGTTTTCGTTTTTTGAGCAGAATGACTTGGATGAAATATGCTTGCGGCAATTACATATATGATCGGGGTACATGAGTTCATGCATGTTGTTAAGCGCCGACCAGCTAGAAATAATCGCATGCATGATGTTTAGGGAGTGGTGTTCCGGGTTCAATATCACCCGTGCACTGCACCAGCAGATTACTCTCGGTCTTTGACCGTTGAACGCTGTCGCTTACTTATAGCAAGTGAGCATGCACAGGCAATTATTACAATAATAAATACAAACATACATCAAATAACAGCACGGGAGAACAAATGGCTGAATACGACCGTCTTGCATAGATTTGGAAATATTTTAAGAGCTGGTGAATGTTATGTCGAAGGGTTTTTCGAGCACTTGCTTGATTGTTTGATCTCCACTTGACTTTGATGAAATGAAAGAAGAGACGGGTGGAAGAGTGAAGAAGCAGTTTTCATATTACCTGACGGTGTCTGATTATTATTCAAGGCTATGCACACATTGTGAAAAACGTGAGGAGAGTGACGCAATTGTGTTCCTGTGTCTGCGATTGGTTCATTATCATATCAATGAGGTAAATCTGTCGTTTTGAGCATCTGGAAAAGTGAGGTTTTGTTAATTAAATACGATTTTCTAAATATCACGCTCTTAGCACAAAATATAATCAGAAGGAAATGAAATTGTCCAATCGCAGATCATTGTTTATCCTATGGCATACTTTTTCATGACCATTTAACACGATCGTAATTAGGTTGTATCATCACAACCATGTGGACGTATTTATATTATAAGTGATAAACATTTTAACCAAAAAGCTCCTCACTTTGATAGTCCATTTCTGCTGCGCACATAAAATGCGAACCGGTTCGAAGTATAGCGACAGATAGTGTTTGAGAGGCCTTCCGCCTGTGCTTTAGATCTCAGATTGTGAGTTGTGTCGAAATCCAGTTCTAAAGTGACAACATACAAAGCCGCCCAAGCAACTATCTGCACTGCAGATATGGTTACTCGGCCAGCCTCGTGCAAATCAAAATACAGCTTGGATCATCAAGTGATAACACACAGACAGTCAGAACAAAGACAGAGCAATGTTCACAGTAAAACTTCGCGTTTTATTTAGGGAAACGATTCACCTGATGTGCTGTGATCACACTTCATTTCGAATTACAGAAACATCAGTTGAACCAAACCATCAGTTTTCCACTGCAGGCAACAACCCGGCAAGCAACAATGCAGTTTTTACAACATGATTTTCTTCTCCTTTGCAGGATTAGCTCAACTCAAACTGTCTACTCTCTCACTTGATCCTCTGTCTTCCGACTGGCAAACCATTTTCTGCGTGCGTAACATGCTTCATATTTAAGCAGATATCTCCCCATGTAAGTGGAACACACTCGCTTCATCCCCTTGTCTCCTACACATATATCTGCAGTCTGCACGATTGTGTGAATAGAAACTCGGTAAGAATAAATTGCACCGCGCTCAGCGCAGAGATGTCTTCTGTCGGCGAGATGAGAGAAACCGAAATGCAGCGTGGTTGTGAAACGATCCATACCGAATGTAGAAATCTGTCATTTGATGATGGTTACGGGCGAAATATCTTTCAGTTTAAGATTTTGCAAACGAACTTTCCATAGTGTCTAACAGATGATATGCTAATCCGAACGGCAGTCGGATAAAGCTCAAAGGTCAGTGAAACTTACTTGCGAAAGCTTGGAGGATACGAATATGATTGACTGTCAAGAAGCCAACTGAAGCAGTTTTTCCAGGAAAAGAGTGCAATAGAAATATTAATCCATGCATACTGGGTGAGGTAGGTACCCACGGCCTACGTATAGGAGAAATGAAGAAACTGCTTAGAAGAACTGGCAATAGGTATTTTTTCTCTCAGCTCTCAATGAGCAGTTGAGAATGTCACTTGATCGGGTCTGATTCGGTTGCAATGTCTGTTCACACAGATATAAGAAGAAAATATTTACAGCCATCACCATCGCAGCATCACTCCGACACGCCCCCCCCCCCCCCTCCTGAGCCGATCGTGCGGCCCTTATTCATTCAACTACAATCACACAAGTCAGCATGGTATAACGGGCCGACCTCAACCCCTGCCGGCCGGCGACCTTGTCACATCTCAGCGCAGAGGCCCCGCGACAAAAGTAAAAGTACTCGGCGTAGTGGCCATGGTGTTGAACTTGACCGCCAGCCGCTGCGGTCCTGGCCGGGCCTCACAACAGTGCCAGTCGGGCGGGGCCGGACGGGGTGGGGGTACGGGGTCGCGGGGTGCCTCGAGCAACATTGAGAAAGGCGAGGGCGCCCCGTCGATGGCTTCTAAGTGGAGCAGGACAAGGGGTAATTTGGCGGGTGATGATGTTTTGCGTAACGGCAGTGGCTGTGGTTTAGCAGCGATACAAAAGCGCCAGGTGACGGAGGCTCATCAATGAGATTATGTGCAACTCGTGAGGAGGTACTGGGTATCTTGGAACGAGATAGCAAAATGCTTTCCTAATTAACCACACACTTCCATGAATAGAAAAATAATATTGCGATTTTGCACCGTCATTGCATTGTTACACTTTGCAATTTCTATCTGCATCAAATGGCGAGGCGATGACAAAGGCATTTGCGCTGTTACTGGAGAGTAATTGTTCACTTTTGAAAATAACCATAGCGTGTGAGCTCTGTTGCTCTTGCTGATACAAACTTTTAAACCACGGGTAAAACTACCACAATCCACAACTTCCATGAGGATAAGCGATCTTAAAAAATAGACATATCACACAAAACATAAACCTGACATTGACCCATTTAGACACGATTATCCGAGCCAAAGAAAGAGCTGCGCCCAATTCCATCTGCTCTTTCATGGTCCTCATGGTGCCGGGAGATGACCCAAATCGCAAACCAGTTATAAGTGACGCGACGTTATAAAAGATGCTGTGTCAAGGCCATCACGGCGGGATCCGGCCTTGGGGAGTGGTGGAGCTCCCGGGTGTATGTCACGTGGAGCCGGGTTTACACCGGTGCTAGCCGGCCCGGTGGCTGCCCCCAGACCCAAACAAAGGCGACGGTGATCGATTGGATGGCATGTGACCGAAATAAAAGAACCGGTTAATAAAAATACTATTTACTGCTGGATCGTAGACTGAATATCAATTATAATATCAAACGATGAAATGTTCGCTTGCAAACCTTATATAATCATAAATCAATTCACTAGAAATGAAAGTTAGAATTTGATGTTTGTAGCCTAATTGAATTTTCTGAAGGCCCATGATTCCACTCTTCAGCGAGTTGACCCAAAGCCCTGACCTCGTCTGATTGAAAAGCAAGCCCTAAGGAAGCACATACCAATTTACAATCTACGATCATCTAGCTATTTCTTTTCCGCTATTTCGATTTTTAACAACACCACATTAACCCCAGTATATGGGTTATTGAGCCTCACTCACAACTGTTTTTAGTGCATCTCATGATAAAATGTGTTCAAACGGTAAGCAGATGTGTTTTATTAGAACATAACCCAAGCTCAAATACTGTTTAATGTACATTTCAGACAGTAGGCACGGTTTACCTAACCGGGGTAAGCATCGCGCCCCTCCGAGTCCGTGCAGACTGCGCCGCTCACCAGAACCCCCAGGAGCCGCTGTTGGTGTCGCCGGCCTGCTCGTGGCAGCTGTCCCCGCGGAGGCCGGCCGACACCCAGCGCTCCTCGGACCGGCACAGGCCCGGGCACCGGTAGTGGGCGCAGCACAGCGGGAACTCGCCGCGAGATTCGTCCTGCAGCACCACCTCACAGTCGAGCGACGGCGGTGGACCCAGCGGCTCGCACGTCTCGTCCTCCATGTAGAGCGTGCCCAAGCCCAGCTGACACGATTTCTTCACGCACGGACTCTCGGTCCAGTGACTGCCCAGGCTGAACTGGCGTCCCAGCTGCTCCGAGTAGCAGGCGTCGCAGGCATAGCGCGGGCAGCAGCGCGGGAAGGCGGCCGTCGCGTCGCCGTCGCCGATGCGGCGGCACCCGGCCGACATGGGGCACGAGAACAGCAAGGTGTTGCCGTAGCTGCAGTAGGCCACTCCGCCGCAGTCGGCCAGCAGCCACTGCTCACCGTGAGCGCGACTGATGTTCCTGTCGGCGTCGTAGCAGCCCTCGGCGGCAGGCGAGCCGACCCTCAGCGAGACCAGACAGGCGAGCAGCAGGACGTGCCGCCCCGTCAGCCGGAGAGGCTGCAGCGACATGGCGGCCGGCGGGCGGCACTGGTGGCCACTGCACTGGGCACTGGTCCCGCGACTATACATATACCCGAGTGTGGAGTAAACACAGCCTGTCTGCAGTCCGGCAGACACCGCGGAATGGCCCGTGTTTACATATTCGCTTCGGCAGGGGGGGGAGCGAGGGGGAGTCTGCGTGTCTGCGTGCATTTGCAAACGATAGTCTGCGTGCATCTGTGGCTCTGCATGAAGCGTTTATTTCCTTAAGAGAGAATCAAACGACCCCCTCGGTTTTTTTCAGGAATAACGCGCGGAAAAAGCGGCCAATCGCGAGAGAAAACTTCTATTTTTTAATCTAGGATTCGCAACAGGAAAATTGCCCTAGAAAAGTCCCTATTTCTCAGGAAGCTGGTATACTTTTTTGTCGTAAATAATTAAAGCATCTAAACTTTTTAAAGAAGAATCTATCTATTTCGTTCAATGGGCCCGGTGTTTCCACGTGCTAAGCACATTGAAGTTGAACCACTTCATCGAAGAACGTCTTAGAAACGATCTTATTCTGCGTGGCGGTTCAGAAGTTTCTGAGTCACGAAACGGTAGCGTGATCGTTATCTTTCTGACGTTTACTTGATCAATGCTTGTCGGCCTCCCTCTTGTAAAACTACATATCTGAGAAGAACGGTATTGCCCATCGGAACTGTGAATTTACGAGCACTGCGTTTGGGTTTGATAAGACTGCGTGTGTTGACTGGTGGATTACACGGTCAGGCACGCACTCAATAGATGAATGGAACTAAGCGGGAGCTTCTGATGAAAGTCGAAACGAAACTATCAAAAACAAAAAGAAAATAATAAAATGAAGGGGGCAAAAAAGAAACGAAAAAGGCAGTGTCGTGCATCGGCAAGTGTCGTGCATTAGGTAACGTTCTGACGGTATGCCTATAGTCAAACAGGCGATTGTTGGGTTGTATGCTCCGCCGCAAAACTGCAAGACATTGCGGCACAGCATTCTCATAGCACGATAGAAACGTTCTTGGGCTGGTATTCATGCGAAACTGGCGATGAGATGAATCATGAATGCGATCCAATAGATATTGCTTATTTTTTCACTCAGTGAACGACGAATGCACCTGTCACCGGAGCCATTCGCGGTTGACTTACCTTTCATGCCATAGAAGGAGAACCTCTCGCAGAACTCATTGCCGATGATGAAGAACACCGGCTTCGGGTATTTGTGTTTCTGAAACGGAACAAAAATAGCATTAGAATCGGGTCCCTTCCGACGATTTAGTGGTAATTTGTGACAGGGTACGTAACAAACTTATATGCCTACGAATATGTGAAGATGTGGGCACTATTACTAAATAGTTAGGTATTCCCAGGTGTAGATTTAGTACAAAATACGAAAAACTTCACAGCATTATTCCCGATTTCGCATCTTGGCGCCTTTTTACAAACCAGCATGGACTTATTTCGGGAATCAAATGAAGGAAAGGAATTAAAATCAGATTTTTGTTTTCAATTAAAATGCAAATTCTACAATTTACTTTCAGTCATTTAGCATCAATTTAACATCGACTATTTAGGAACTCTTAAATAGAAACGTTAAAAAAAGTGACTCGTTCCCGAGACTTCCAATATTGTCTCACTCATAATTTACGGCCTAAAAATGGGCAATCAATGATCGCACGATCTCGCTTCTATGCCTAAACCACCGGGAATAATTCTTTGCAGACCACCAACTCTTCGAGTCGTATCAATCATTACCTCCTCCTTTCGCCTCTCAGCCACCTCCATTTGTTCGATGTCCGCCTCGACCGTCATGGTGTCCTCTGTCCGGTGCTGTGTGTCCGCTGTGTCCTCTGTCCGGCGCTGTGTGTCCGCTGTGTCCGCTCTCCGGTGAGGTGTTTCCGCAGTGTCCACAGTCCGGTGCCGGTGGCGAGGAGAGCTCGCGGACCTGCCGCTGCTGAGCCGGTGCTCGAACGACCGAACGTGGTGGCCGACAGGAGTCGACTGAAGACCGGTCACCGGCGGAGAGTGGGCCACAGCCCTTCACCGGCCCGCCACTGCCGCGGGTGCCCGTGCCGGCCAGATTGGCGAGTCGGGGGGGGGGGGGACTGATAGCACCCGCCCCCACCGCCACCGACGCTGCTCTCTTCACTTCTCGGCGTGTCTAGGTTTTTACTCTCATTCATATGCTAGACACGTCTTTCTCTCCTCTTTGTCTCCTTTCCCTTCCCGTCTCCTTCTCGTTCTCCCTCCTTTCCTCAGAGCGCCTCTTCTACGGGGCTGCGGAGTCGATGGATTTTTGTTAACTCCTACTCCGACTCCGACTCCGGGCAGAATGTCCACTCCGACAGACTCCGACTCCTGCTCCGACTCCATCCACGGCCCTGGCATTTCTGCGAAGTCGATGGTTTTTCGGTGACTCCGACTTCGACTCCGACTACAGCTTCCAAAATCAACCCCGACTCCAATGCCGACTCCTATCATACCTATCGACTCTGATCGACTCTGACTCTGACTCCAATTCCAACTCCGCAGCGCTGCTTCTAATATTGGTCTCTTCTGCCCGAACACTGTTCTACGCTCAGGCTCCTGCGCTGAGCCAGAGTGATAGCCGAGGACTGTAGTGAACGTAATTATTACATGGTCTTGTTTGTGGCCATCGATTTATGAGTGAACTGTGTCAAGCTTGACTTTAATGCTGGGATGGTTGATTCGATTAAATCCGTGGCCGTGCTTTGGTACCTGATCTATCTGTATCAATTGTTTTTTCTTGTTGCTGAATAAATCAATTCACACCGTAAAGCAATTAAATCAATGGAGGTATTCAACACAATTATTATATCAAAAAAGCGTAAGCAATGAGTTGTGGGTTCGTTGCTACATAATGTTACTTATACCTAACAACGCCTTCCTTTATCTTTATTTACTCTTAAAGTTCACGTCTTTTCATGTGACTAAGGGATTATGGAGTATGACCTAATTTTACGTTAAGGTCACTTTTCAATTCGGAAATTTTAGAAGGTAGGTACTTTTTATCTGTAATTATAACCATCAGGAAAAACATTTTAGACGCGAAAAAGTCGTTTTAGTGACAATTACCATCCGCCCTTTTCCTGTCAGACTCGCCGTCCGTCCGTCCATCCGTCCGTCCGTCCGTCCATCCGTCCATCCGTCCATCCGTATCGTTTCCGTCCGTTCGTTTCCCTCTGCCTACATTCCGACCAGCCCAGGTGGCCCGGCCCGGTCCGCCGCGCCACTGACCTCCACTCGAGTTCCGGTCATCCTCCTCCCGACCAACGGGACCGGTCGCACGCGCGGCACGCACACCGTGACGTCACTAGGACGCAATCGAGCGCCGCCGGCAGTGCACGTGAACCCACCGAGCGACCTGCTAGGTCGGCGAGGAACTGGCCAGCAAGGTGGACACTGGACAGTGCAAAGGTCGGTATCCGCTCATTAGTAAACTGCGGAGGTGGTACCGGTTCAAAGTGCGCACTTATGTGGGTGTGTGTAATTGTTTAATAAAGGTGTACAGAGGCCTAATTAAGATAAGAAAGAAGCAGCAGTGCAGATAATTCGGATTTTGTTACGCTCGTCAGGTGAACAGCATCCAGCGTGGACGATAATGGATGAACCAGTCGGGATTTAGCGGCGAGAAGTGTGTGATACTAAAGATAGGGACACCGTAAGAGAAATAAAGGACGGCCTGTAAACTTCAACATCTTAAGCAAGAACTGAATGTCGGCACCGATGGGTAACGTCGAAGTCCGTTTATTTTAGCCTTTCGCAAAGCATTGGTGCATTTAATGCTGTATTATAATAAAATATAAGCCATGAGATCACAAAAGGACGCTATGTTTAATTTATTTTACCGTTGTGCTGGCCGAGATAGTTGAGGGGAACCATCCGTCCGACTTTTTATCCCGTCATTTCCTAGTTTTCAGGTTTCCGAAATATCACACCATGTTATCATCCATCCGCCTTGGGCAATTGCTGGAGCTGATTCCTCGGGTAGAAATTACGTCGGAGAGAACTGTGATGCGATGGCGCATATAGCCTATTGAATTCTTCCATATCCTGCCGCCCACGACAGTGTATACCTTGCTGATCCCCGCAGCTCGATAGACGTTTACTACGCGCGTCATAGAGCGGGCCAATCACCGGGCTATCTTGTCACCTCGACAGGTCACGCTGGCGGAAAAAGCCACACACGCAACCTCCCCCACAAAGACACGACCTGACCTCGCTCCCCGGCGCTATCTTCGCACCCGATGGCGCATGACTGTGCCAACGAGGAGATGGTTCTTGCTGCTGCCTCTGTGCGCATTGCACATAAGATGTACGCCGAACCCCGCTGCTCGCTTCTCCCCCGACGGCTTCGATCATGCCAGTCACAGACTTTGGTGCAGAGCAAAAACGGGGAAAGCTTCTCGCGGAGGGCGCGGGTGGTTGCGACAGCAGCGCTCGGGGCCGGTCGGCCGGCGGGTCGGTCGGTATAGGTCGGCGGGTCGGTTGGTCGGTCGGTATAGGTCGGCGGGCCGGTTGGTGGTCGTTCCACGGACACTGGCGCCGTATCTAAGCTGTGCCAACTGCCACCGCTGCCGAAAAACTCGGCAAGGCGAGAGACGCGAGAGACGCGGGGGAGGCGAGGAGTGGTGGATAGAGTTGATCGCGTCTGATAGAATCAACTAGGAAGAACGTTTTGAGAGCGAGCTTTATGCAAGCGTAGAAACAGGTGCTGAAAATTCATGCTTCTGTAAAGCTATGACCAAATGATATTGAATAAAAAGATTAAGAACAAGACACAGAGAATTGTTGTCAAAAGTTGTCACTCACCGTTTTGTCGAGATCATCATCGCTGGAGTCGGAACGGCGCAGGAGACGTGACCCTGCAATGAGAACCGAGACACTCACTTCTATTAGCTGACAGGGTTAGCCGTGGGGATACAGACACTTCTCCATAAGACACTACTTTGACTGTATGTTTAACCCTTGCCAGGCCAAGACCCTTTTTCCATAACACAAGCAGCCAGGCTTGAGGTATTGATATAAGCTATTAATACGTCCGGTATTCATATAATTGATGCATTGATATAACGTACTGTCAACCTATCATAAACTGTATTGATGTCACGTTTTGATTTAAACTGTGGTAGGTATTACAACACAATATTAATGAAGTAGATCGGGTTTCTCCAATATCATCGCCACTGGAGTGAACTGCAATCTTCATGTTTAGCGTCGCGACATCATGACCTCCAGAGGATCTCAGGTAAACAAAATTAACCCACGAGCCGCTGGGGGGGGGGGGGCATAAAGTTGCCCCCTTTACGTTTTGTGAAATATCTCCGAAACCTGATGAGCTACGAACGTGAAACTTGGCATAGCTTCAAATGAATACCTAGGCAATGTTTGAGGAAAGTTTGGTGGTTGTAGTACCTAAGATGACGTCACAGTGACGTCATAAAGTTTTGTCGTTTTCCGATTTGGACCGTTTCTGATGACGCTGAGCATGAAACTCAACTGTAAAAGAACTAGACAGCACCTGCTGTCATATCCTAAAACATCTAACTACACTTCCATCTGGTTTCTGACCAATCTTCGACCCTTTATATTCGGTCCCATATATCTGATGTATCGTGAGGAATATGAGAGTCGCAAATCTATAATTTCACTTATGACGTCACTGTGACGTCATTTCAAATGGGATCGACACCAAATTTAGACACAACCTCGGCTAGGTCTTCAGGAAGATGTGTGCAAAGTTTCACTTCTCTATCTCTTCGCGTTGCGACGATATCGTCGCAGAAGTAAAGGGGGGGCAACTATATGCCCCCCCCCAGCGGCCGGCGGGTGGCGCGGAGGCCCAGCGGCCGCCGGGTTAAAAAGAATTATATCGCACATCGGTGTGTATCGATGTTTGAGGTGTAACGTTTCATATTGTTGCGACATTTATGACATTAAACATAGACCACTTCAGGTATATTATATGTATATGGTATTAAACAAATTAAAATGGCATCAAACACCATGCATGAAGCTGCAAGATGTATAACATATATACAGACCCAGAGATATAGGGGCCAAATGAGCCACTTTCACAGCTGACTTAACCCTATTCCTGGCGGGCTCCGCCGGGACAAGAAACTGGCGGGGGGGGGGCCGATTCGGCCCCCCCCCTGAGATCTCGAGAACGAAGCAAGATAGCGACAAGCGGTAAACGGCATCGGATACGCACGGCCAAAATCTACAATTTTTACTAAGGTCATTTTCAGGTCAGGTCAAAGATGACGTCACAGGGGTCGAAAAAGTCAAAATGGCGGCACTAGATATGGAGAGAGTTTTTCTCGAATAACTTTCGAATTAGTCAAGATAGGAACAAACTAAGGGCATCATCGTGATCCTCTCGTCAATCCGCATCGAATGATATATATGTTGACCTCGAAAGGTCAAGGTCAAAGGTTGACCTCAGGTCACGTGACCTCGAGGTCATCATGTATATCATTCGATGCGTCTTGACGAGCTGAACACAATGAGACCATCCACGCGTCTGTATCTTGTTACTGTACGGAGTTATTGGCCAAAAACCTTTGGTGACCTTTGATGACGTCACATGACCTCACAGCTGCCCAACAGCAAAACAGACCTCAAGGTAGTGAAGGTTGATCGTATATGAAGTCATGTATGGTATATGGGGCCATTCCGACCCGTTTTAGTGGTGAAAACAGGGAGTTGATTTTTCCCCCATTGACTTATAATGGGGAGGTCGCGAAATTGACCTGACCTTAGGTCACCGATATCAAAATTCCGAGATATACAAATTGCACATACTGGTACCCTAACTAAACCCTGAAGAGAAGAAATTGATCGGTCAAAAACTCTAGCTCTGGCGTGATTGCAAACTTTTCTAAGGTAGCGTCACCAAACCGCCTCTGGTGACCTGACCTGAGGTCAGATCAACTCAAAATTTTCAGACATGTTGCGTAGAAGCCTTTTAGGAAAAGTCAGAAAATTTGAGCTTCCTAGCTCAACGCGTTTGGGAGATATAACCAAAAAACCTCAGGGGGGGGGGCTCCTGAGGCCCCCCCCCCCCCCCCGCCAGGAATAGGGTTAACTATCTGATGGTCTGGTGTGACTTTGACGTTTTTGTTTAGTCGGTAATTATAGTTTTCAGCCTGGGCGGAATATATCAGGTTGATAACAGTAACGAACATTCAGTTTAAAGGTAGTGTGCCAGCTTTCTTGGACCGTATGGAGTTAATGGCCCAGATAAGGAGAACCGGATTTTTAGAACTTATCCATACCTTCAAAACTCGTGGAAACGTCTTAAATTCTTCAAATTTTGAGTACCCCAGTGCGAAATTCGCCCCGACGGGTTGTCGGTCGTACCCCAACCACATTTCACACCACTATGAACAATAAATGCACACACTGAAATCGCTATTACCGATATGCTCATCCAATCAAGTTTCGATAAACCCGTTCATCATCATCTCCTGCGGTTTCGAACACGCCTGTTAGGTGGCTTCTGATGCTCGTCGAGGTCGGAATTTCCAAATACGCGTGGTGCGTCGGGCCGCGCGCTCTGACTTCGGCCAAGAAAAATGCGTCAGCTGATCATTGTCATTTCTGCCACTTGCGTGTGGTGAAATGGGGTCATAACTTATAAGACGGCTTTTTCATATCAATTATTTTACATAAAATCATATTTCAAACCATAAATAATGTTCGACAGCCAAATAAAAGAAACAATACCAATACGGGCTTACAGTTTAAGGCTCGACATTGTGTTGTCTACGATTAGACAGCTGATAACTCATTCCCGTACGTCGTATGGTCGTAACACTATAATGACCTTTGCTTATTGTCACAAGTGCGCCGCATTCGCGATTGTTGCCCGACGCCTGTTTGCAGGTGAGCCCACTACAGTTGTTATACATATCTAAAAACCGATAAACTTTTAGGCGAAAAAGGCACTATTCCAGGCCCATTTTTGATTTTTTTTGCGATATTAGGTAAAAACAGAAGCTTCTTATCCTAGGAAAAATAAAATGGGAAATCTTTCAAAGGTGGCACACTACCTTTAATGAAAAAATGAACGCAATCATTAAGGGAAAAAGGGTAAAATAGCAAACAGCTTGCCAGGTTGAGCACTTGTTACGAAGTCAGTGACATTTCATTTGAGCCCAATCCGGCCCAATTTGACCACAGTCCAAATATGCACCAAAGCCATTATGAAACCCGTCGCTGTTCATCGTAAAACGGCCAGCATGCCATTAATCTTCCATTATTACGAGCAATATGGCATTGATGCCTGCCGTTGCCTCCCCCTATGTAACGACCCTCCGAGTCAAACCCACCTTTCCGGATGTAGACATCAGCCCTGTCTCGTTCCCCTACCAGCAGAGGCACGTTTTCTGCCATGACGCGACCTTGACCTAACCACACCGCCCGACCGACACCGCGCGCTGCGTGTTTACAGCAGGTGGTCGGATCGATCCGTCCGACACACCAGCTGGCTCGCTGACCGTCTATTCTCGGTACGTGCACCGCATGTGGGCGGAACAGCACACACACACTTGTGGGCACACCGCTATTACCAGGTTCGTGATCACAGAGGTGTGACGTTTGACGAGGCGCTTAGAGGGTAAACTGAGGTGTCGCCTAGATGAGCGAGAGAGTCGCGGTTCTGTTACGAAGACTTGTGAGGCGTCTGGCCTTTAGCGGAGCAATGTAATTAGTTATATAACGTTCTTTGTGCACATGCACAGGTTCACTGAACGCAAACAATCGCCACGCCCTAAACTGGGCTCTCCATCGCGGGTCACGGGTCAGCCGACGGCATTCTACACGTGTTGGCCGGCAGCGGAGGCGGCGGCGGCGGTCCGTAATCCCCTCAGGTCCTCATTGCCCGCTCTCTCAGTAATAACGTCAGTCCGACCTCAGCCGTCCCTCCACGAGACAGGCGGCCGCCCCGACCCGCTGTGACGTCACGGAGCTCCAACAGCTGACTGCGGCACCGCGGTGGTCGGTCACTTTCACTACACAGCGCCGCTCGAGGCGGTGGGAGCGCGGCCGCCCCGCCGCGCTGGAGAATGTTAGGTCTTCTTGGTGTTGAGAAATGCCACATGGAACCGGCTACGTGTATTGGCGGTTCACAATATAAACAAACGAAGGAGCACAGACATGTTCGGACTCAGCCCGGCCAGAATGAATCCATCGACCCTGTTCATTCATACAAATCCAAAGTCGTAACCATGGAAACGGTAAACACGTGAAATACCATGCGGGGTCCAACACCATGGCAAATGCCAACACAATAACGTCTCCCGACTAACTAGGAAACCTCACATCTCCCCCCGGGTCGACCGGTAGGTCTTCAGCTCCGGGTCGACCTGTAGCCTCCCCGGGGGCTGACGCCGTCGGCCGGTGCGCCGCGGTGCCATTGTCTCCGGCGGCTTCTCCGAGAACCGCACCGTCTTTCGAGTTGGGGCGGGCGTCCCGTCCTTGTTGTCTCTGCGGGCCAGACCTCCTCGTGTTGCGATGATTGGGCGGTAGGGGCGGATGAACCTCCTGTTACGCCACAAGATACGGCCGCTCGGCGTCTTGACGAGGTAGTCTCGGCGGCGTCCGATGCCCACCACGAGTCCCATCTTGTCCCACAGGCCCGCCGTACTCGTCACCGGACGTGCAGAGGCCCATGACGGCGCGCTTGAACCTGAAGCGCCCCCAGGGTGTTATAAAACACGTCAGGTCTTGGTCCTCCTCTGCGATCGGGATCTGAAAGTATCCTGACTTCGCGTCCAACTTCGTGAAGAATCGGCTGCCTTGCTCGATTCCGGTGACGGCATCGTGAGGAGTGGTGACAGGATGGGCTCCACGTCGGACGTAGAGGTTGAGTTTGGTCAGATCCACGCACATCCGCACGGAAGTCTTGCCGCCGCTTCCGTCTGTCGGCGGCTTCGGTACCGGAACCATCGGGTGACACCACTCGGTCGGGTGGGACACGGGCATGATGACGTCTTGTGCGATCAGATCGTCCAGCTGGCGCTTGATGTCGTCTTTCCATGCGTGCGGGATGTTTCTGGCGGCTGTCACCGCGTACGGGCGAGCATCTGGCTTTAGTTCGATCCGCATTGGGCCGCCTGCCATCTCTCGTAGTGGTGGCTGAGTGTTGAACACCATCGGGAACGCCTTCTTCAGAGCGTCTAGATGCTCCTGCCTCTGTGCTGGAGTCGGATCACCTTTCCTTGGATCCCATGTGGGGAGAGATGAGTCGCCATCCACCGCCGTGTGAGAGCGCGCCGTTACCGGCGCTGCTGTCGTGTGTCCGGTAGCAGGAGGCGACGTTCCGGTTGCTTCTGTGATGCCGTAGATCTGCTTCGGAAAGTCCGGCGAGATTATCCCCAGGGCGATGGCGTCGTACCATGAGAGGAGGGCTGCCTGGAGACCCGGTATGACGGTTACGGTGGTGGACGTTTGGCGCTGTCCCATGGTGAGTGTGCACTGGAGCGAGCCGGCACACTTCAACTGGTGTCCTCCAGCGGCCAGGAGCCGGTCTGCCGGCTGTGTCAGATGTGCTGTGTCGATGCCAATCCGCTCCGCTTCTCTGGAGCCGATGACAGAGACTTCGGCTCCAGTGTCTGGCGTCCACAGTAGTGATCCCTGTCCACGCTGATGACTAACCAGGAGGGAGACTTGTGGTGTTTTCTTTGCTGTGACGCCTAGGATTCGCACGCCGTTCAGGTGGGGTCCGTCAGATGTCTGGCTGTCTTCAGAGCCTGACCGCGTGTGCCTCCGCCTAGATCTCCTGCAGACGGATGTGTAGTGCCCTTTGATGCCGCATGATCGGCACGTGGTGCCTCTGGCAGGGCAGGAGGCTAGCTGCTCCTTGGTGTGCCATGGTCCGTCGCAGTAGCCGCATCGCCTGCCACGGCTGGCAGATCGGTAGTCCCGTCGGTCGTTATCATAGCCTCTCTCCCGGTTGTCCTGGCCGTCCCGTCCGTATCGACCTTCTCGGTACGTGTCACGGGCGTCTGGACCGTGACTCCGGCCGGCTCTGCTGTCCCGGCTTCGTCGCTGCCGGTAGGCGGACACGGGGTGAGCGTGACTACCCCGGATCGCTTCACTGTCCTGCGTCGCGTTTTCTCTTGCCCGACAGATGTCGATCGTTTTTTGCAGTGTCAATGACGATTCGGCGAGGAGGAGTCGCACTGTTTCCTCACATCTGATGCCCGTCACGATCCTGTCTCGGAGCCGGTCGTCTGCGCAGTGGACGCAGAAGTCGCAGAACTCTGCCAGTTCCTTTAAGGCCATTACATACTCGTCGAATGGCTCGCCGTCTGCTTGCTGTCTGGTATGGAACTCTTTTCTGTCGACGATGACGTTCCTTTGGCTCCTGAGGTGACTTTCCATCTTTGTTAGCAGAGTGTCGATAGGTGTGGCGTCTGTCACGTCCAGCGAGTAGCGTATTACACGCGTCCATTCGTCGTCAAGGAGTGTTAATAAGGCCGCCCGCTGTTCAGGGATGTCGAGGGAGTCGAGGCCAGTGAGAAGACGGTAGCCTTTATACTTCTCACGCCATGACGAGAACTCTCTGAGGCTGGCCGAACAGACCAGACGCGGTGCTGGAGTGGCTGACGGCGGCAGGCAGGGTCTGCTGTTCGTGGTGTCCGATGTCTGGGAGTCGTCACCGTCTCCCGACGCGCTCCCTTGTCTGCCTCGTAGAGCCTGGGTGACGAGATCGGCCATCCGCTGCTCCCGCTGGTTGGCGGCCTCAGCCTGGTCCTTCAGCAGGCTGGTGAGACTGGCGATTGCAGCGGCGAATTCTTCTCCTGCAGACATCACGCTAAAAAATTCCTGCCTCCCCGAGATTCGAACTCGGTACCCACGCGTGAAAGCCGGGTGCTCTAACCGCTAGACCATCGAGGCACCTGTAACCGAGCGGCGTATATTGTCTGCTATATCAACTCCAGTGTGTTCCGGCTGCGCTAGCGATCCTTTCGAGAGTAAGCACGGTACACAATGCGGCATTACAAATTCAGAGATGCGATTTCACCTCACGATTGAACTTCCGCTGGCCACGACTCACAGTGAATGTCAATGTGTAACTCACGGAGATGAAGCGTCGGCCGTCGTAGAGAGGTAGGTAATGCCGATGTCGTTCTTGATTTGTGGTCGGGAGTCTTGGCTCAGCTTACCGACCGCGCCATGTTAGGTCTTCTTGGTGTTGAGAAATGCCACATGGAACCGGCTACGTGTATTGGCGGTTCACAATATAAACAAACGAAGGAGCACAGACATGTTCGGACTCAGCCCGGCCAGAATGAATCCATCGACCCTGTTCATTCATACAAATCCAAAGTCGTAACCATGGAAACGGTAAACACGTGAAATACCATGCGGGGTCCAACACCATGGCAAATGCCAACACAATAACGTCTCCCGACTAACTAGGAAACCTCACAGAGAACCCACGTGCGGAAATCGATACGGAATAGCGCGTTCCAGTCTCGCTGTCTTCAGCACACACAGAGAGATAACCACCGCTCCGCGGATGCAATACGGTCTTCAGCGACGGACGCACACTCGCGGTCGGACGCTGTTGCACCTGCACGTCAATCGCCGCCCGCTGCTACCGGATCGGGCTGTCAGAACGGGTCACGTGACCTTCATGGAGCGGCAGTGGAGGGTGGCGGTGGTGACATCTAGCGGCCGGGCGGCGTACTGATGTCAGCCGGCCGGCTGTTTCCAGTCCGACAGAGCATGGGTCTACCGTCTATGCATTGTAATTCGTAGGTATTATGTAAGATTCATTCTCAGTCGATATAGCAATGATTTACACGAAAAACGATAACTATGGTTTTAAATGTAGCATCTGGAGCTCGTTCGAAGTGACGAGATTTCGCCTAAGCGATTAAAGCGTTAAATTGAAAAAATAAAGTTTGCATAATCAATAGGTCATTGATCGTTCTGATTCACGATCAACGTTTAACGTCCAATAATAAAGAAATGTCTTATTTCGTACATTCGGCCAGCCTAACCAGTAAGAGTGTCCTCAGGCATCAACCGAAAGCCACGAGAATTTCCTGTGAAATGTGCTATTTTAAGCATTTATCTGTTCATTTCACTGAACAATCACTCCATGATTATATAACTACATATCTAACCTATATCAAAGGAAAACTTTAAAAGCATGATAAGCATAGCCTAGCATGCCGATCGCGGGGCGCACTGCAGCGGTGGGCTCTTTTCCCTGCAGTCTGACCACAGCTGCAACACTCACGGTAGCTCGGGCCTCGGGGTACTTACTGCATACACACAGTTCGGTACTTACACAGCACACACGTGTAATGTGTCATACGCGCACGGCCGACATCAAGGGGGGCCGTGATGTCGGGGGGGGGGGCGATCTGTTGGACATCTGTGGAATCATAGCCATAACAGTAGAACTGTTCCACTGTTAATTTTCTACTGTTATCTATGGTGGAATTAATCGTTCGGTGAACCCGTGACTGACTGCAGGGGGCTAGGTATGTACTTGGTGTCCATGGGTGGAGAATGTTTGAAAAAGTTACCCCGGCCGAAACGATAGTCGGAAAGATGATATATGCTCACGTTGTTGTCAACGGTCATCATAAACAAACCCCTATTCTGACCCATGGAAAGGGAATGATGGATGTTGTGTTTGTTCAAGGATGAACGTTGTATCCAACATCGTATTCATAATTCAACAATTAATAACATTGTAGGCGATGATTGAAAAGGCGATTTTCTTCTTATAGTGATTTTTTTTACTTTAACGTGCAATTTCACACCAAATTCAAACTATATCATAAGCCATTATGAGTAAATGTTGCGTTTTCAGCTTTTTATTGTGTCTCAAAATAGCTACAAAAAGATGACAGCTCACCTCGTACGGGCTTTATAGAGAAAATTGAACGTTCGAACAAAAACACTAAAATGGGTCACTGACATCCATGATCCAGGGACGCAGTCATTTTAAATTAGATGGCTCAACCACTTATAAGACAAACGGAATCGATCCAGGGATATCGACCGGTCCCGGTCTCGTAGCTCAGTC